GTGAGTATTCAGGGTTGTGGTGGCTTCTCATTGGCTGGGTTGTTGCTGGGCAAGGAGAAAATCTTCCTTCTTCGTGCTAGGCTATGTAAAGGAAGCTGCCACAAGTGGAATGTGCCTGAGACCTCCCCTTCCAGGGCTTCCTGCCTCCGTTGTGGATGAGGTTTTCCTTTTATTCAGTTTCGTAGGGCGATTTCAGCATCAAGAGTAGGAGAGCATGGTCCTAAATAAGTTATAAATGTAAAGACACCAAGGACTAGACGTATGAGTTTATGTGCTGCTGCTTCTGTCTCAACTAAAATGGGCATAAGAGGCCGGGCGGCGAGCGGGGCGTCATGGGGCCCGCGCTCCTGGACTGTGACGTGCAGGCCGGGTGGCAAGTGGGCGCTGAGACTGCAGCTTGCGGCTTCCTGGCTCCCGGAGGTCATGGCCCGGCGTCTCAGGGGCTCCCATCCCCTCCAGGTTCTGATACCCAGTTTGCAATTACATTGAACAACAAGGATGCCCTCACTGGAGATGAAGAGACCTTGGCTTCATATGGGATTGTTTCTGGGGACTTGATATGTTTGATTCTTGAAGATGCCTTTGCAGCACCTAACTTACCTTCATCCACAGATCCAGAGCATTCCTCGCTCCAGAATAATGACCAGCCCTCTTTGGCCGCCAGCTCCAGTCAGTCCAGCAGGCAGGATGAACAACTGCGTGATTCATTCCAAGGACAGGCAGCCCAATCTGATGTCTGGAATGATGGCAGTGGGTCAGGGCCTAGTCACAATTTTGAAGCTGAGTCAATTCCAGATGTTGTGGTTATGGAAGAGGGCACAGGTTTCTATCCCTCAGAACCAATGCTCTGCAGTGAATCGGTGGAAGGGCAAGTGCCACATTCATCAGAGACCCTGTAGCAGCCAGCTGACTGTTCTAACCCCAGAGACCCCCGATAGTATCCATACCTCTCCACGTGTTAGAGTCGGTTACATACCTCAGCGGACTGAAGCCAAAGCTGTGTCCATGCTGGAGAACTGGAGGTCAGGGGGCGTGTATAAGCTGCAGTACACACATCCTCTCTGCGAGGGTGGCTCTGCTGCTGTCACCTGTGTGCCTTTGGGAAACCTCATCATCATAAATGCTACACTAAAAATCAACAATGAGATTAGAAGTGTGAAAAGACTGCAGCTGCTGCCAGAATCTTTTATTTGCAAAGAGGAATCAGGGGAAAATGTAGCCAAGACATACAAAGATCTTCAGAAGCTCTCTCGCCTCTTCAAGGACCAGCTGGTGTATCCTCTTCTGGCTTTTACCCGACAAGCACTGAACCTAACAGATGTATTTGGGTTGGTAGTCCTCCCATTGGAGCTGAAACTGCAGATCTTCCGACTTTTGGTTGTTCGTTCTGTCCTGTCTTTGTCTGCAGTTTGTCATGACCTCTATATTGCTTCAAATGACCAACTTCTGTGGAGGTGTTTATATCTGCGGGATTTTCGAGATGGTACTGTCACAGGTCGAGACACAGATTGGAAAGAACTGTACAAGAAGAGGCACAAACAAAGAAAAGAAGCTCAGAGAGGGCGGCATGTGATGTTCCTGCCATCATCACCCCACCCCATTCCATTCTACCCCACCCCCTTGCACCCCAGGCCTTTTCCTCCCAGTTCTCTCCTTCCTCCAGGAATTATTGGTGGTGAATATGATGAAAGACTAACCCTTCCTTATGCTGGGGATCCAATGAATTCATTCATCCCTGAGCCTGGGGAGATACCCAGACAGTTCCCTCCACTCAGACCACATTTTGACCCAGTCGGCCCCTTTCCAGGACCTAACCCCATCTTGCCAGGGCGAGGTGGCCCCAATGACAGATTTCCCTTAAGACCTAGCAGGGGTCGGCCAACTGACAGCCGGCTACCATTCATGTGACTGGTTTGTAATCTCACTCTGGAGCTTGTTTTGTTTTTGTTTTTTTTTTTAAACTATAGACGTTATCTTGTTGGGGTGCTATCTCTAGTGTTTTCTGATTGTGGTGGTGAGAAATGCACTCACAGAAGCCTTTTGGTAGGTATATTTAAAGCTCCAGGGGTGGTATGGCCCAAAGGTTACTGCATGACAGGGTTGGCCTTGGCAATAGTTGGTTCCTGACATCCCCTCTCTGAATTACCCTCTAGAATGAAGGTTAGACATTGATAATGTTCTGCACCAGAATAAAAAATAAGTGTGAAAAAAAATAAAATGGGCATGAACCCCAGCCATGTTCTCTCAGCCTTTCTCTCTTTTATGAGCCTGGAGACCTGTGCAAAGTAGTGAGGATGTTTAGCTTATTTAGTTGAACCCTCACCATGTTAGGCTTTGGGCCTGTGTGCCCGGTTGATATACACATTTGTAGGCTATATGCTTTCTTAAAATGCACATTTGTGGGGGTGGGATGGGGAGGGGGGGAGAGAGATGCAAGAGGGAGGGGATATGGGGATATATGTATATGTACAGCTGATTCACTTTGTTATACAGCAGAAACTAAACACACCATTGTAAAGCGATTATACTCCAATGAAGATGTTAAAAAAAATGCACATTTGTGTATTTTAATATTGCCTATGTTTGCTGCATCTAGGAGATTATAATAAAGTCATTAAAAGTTACAGAATAATAAACCCAGTAGGACCTACTAAAGCATATATAAACATTCAGCAAATGCTTACTGTTTATTATATCCAAAATGCAAACAAGCAAAAAACTAAAATAACTTTATTTTTGCAGTGTTTTATGGTGAGAGTTTCAGCTATAATGATGATCCTGAATTTCTATAGGATCGCGCTCATTTTCTGAATCATTAGGGAAGACTGAATTCTATTCATTGTCACTTCAGTGTTAAGTCAGTTTCACTGTCCACTAAATTTTGGAAACAGTGTCGCAGTGTCTAAAATGTGTCAAGTTCTACTCAACTCTGTTTCACAGTCCATCTATGAACATGTCTAATGTGTAATTCTTATGAACGTGTCTAATGTGTAATTCTTAGAAGGGGCAACATATTTGCATAGGGATATTCACCAGAGTAGGCTGTTTTCAAGAGGAAGGTGACCAGGTTAGGAGGATCAATTCCAGCATAGCTCTGGGAAGTTAAAATCTCTTTATATGCATGAGGGTGTTTATGTGCCAGATAATATTCAGTTTATTGTCTCTTCAACATAAACATTTATTGCTGGTCTATCATATGTAAAGCGCTACAGTAAGTGCTAAGGATAAAAAATACATCTGAGCAGTTTTTCGTGTGGTCAGGGTTGTACAACCACGTCAGAAAGTGCAGTGTTTAAGGGGGCGCACGCGCTACATGCCGCATAAGCAGCGTGGTCAGTGGGCGCAGCACACGGCATTCCGGTGTTCATAGCCTAGAGATTGTGACAGCACCTCCCACGCCCCACAGAAGCAGCAGGTGGGTTTGGTTCTTCCTTATCCTTCACACGTATCTCAATCCTCAGTCAATCTGAGAAACAGGAGCTTGTTAGGGTTTTGTTGCTACTCAACAGTAAAGAAATAGCAATCCCAGGAAGAAAGGGTATTAAGCTCTGGAAGCGTAATTCCGATATATTTACTCCCCGTCCGTCTTTCAATACCTCTCGTATCTAAAAACAATAGGATCTAATTCTCTTTCTGGAGGGTACCCTGTGAAACTGCTGGATGACTGATACCATTTTATTTGTGATGGAAATGAAAGCTCTAGGAATTTATGATGCTTTCATTCATGGATTCATGGGAATAAGTATCTTCTTAGGCTGGCAGGTTGTTAAATAAACATGTTTGAGCTCCTTCTAATGGAAGTGGGCTGCAACACTGGTTATATTATTATGACTATGATTATTAAGAGTAATCGATTTTGTACCCATATTATGAAATAGGCTTCATGCGAGATTTCTTTGATCAGTACAGGTCTTGGTACCCAACCATGAAATGGGCCACGAGGGAGGATTTCTAAAATGAAAGCAGTGGATGAGAAATGTCAGAAAAACGATGCTGTTTGTATAATCCTGATTATCTGTTCTGAATGTTGTCCTTTGGGTTGATTATGACAGAATTTCTGTTGTCAGTAGAATGTAGTTCCTTCTAGCTAAAGGAAAATAATGGCTTCTTTTTGGCAGGGTCATGATTATTACCAGGTCCCCTGACAGTACCAGGACAGTACTGACAGAATCATGGACTTCCTGGAACATGAAAAGGGCCTTGGCAATCACTTGCAGGCCATCAGTCATGGGCAGGATTTGGCAAAGTAGAGATCAGAGAAGAGGGCGTCATGAAAGGAGAAATAAATCGTGCCAAGATATGGAGGGTAGAGTAAGCACCCTGTTTATTTGGGGAACAGTGAGGAGAGTCCTCTAACTGCAGCAAAGAGGTTCTGTTCCCACTGGAGAGTTGTAGGAGTAGGTAGTTGGAAAGGAGAGATGGGGACCAATCAAAGGACGCATTCCTTTCATTGATTTTTGTCAGCCAAGGAAGGCTACACATCAGGTTTTAGGATCATTTTAGAATCAGACAAGCTTAGAGCCAAACCCAAATGCCATCTCTTACTGGCTGGGTGACCTCAAGACAAAATGCTTAACCCGGCTGAAACTTTAGTTTATTCATCTGTAAAACAGAGCTCATAATATCTTCCTCATAGAGATGCTGCATGGGTTAAGTAAGAACCTGTATGAGTAGCCCCCAGCCAATTGCCTGGTGAAGTAGGGTTTCTGAGGAGGAAGCGAGGAGATGAAAGGGGGTTGGTTGTAGAGAGACTGGTCTCTGGCCGCTGTACACAGAAGAGGTGGAATCAGAAGAGACCAGAAACAGTACCAATGTCAGCAATCCCCGAGGAGGCGAAGGGGTGGGAGCTGCCAGGCTAGGACAGAGGGGACATGTCTGTACACCTATTCTCTGCAATTTCTTTCCTCTCATAGACTTTTGTTTCACTTGAGGATTGTGTAACTTCGTTCTGTGGTGTTAGAAGTACAGCAATCACCGACTCTTTCTTTTGCCCTGAACAGGATGCCAGCGATCCATAGGCCTTTCCAATGGGAAAGCCAAGGTGTGCAATTACAGCGGGTGGTATTACTGCAGCAGCTGCCACGTGGACGACAGTTTTCTCATCCCGGCCCGCATAGTCCACAACTGGGATACTTCAAAATATAAGGTAGGTACCGAAACTGGGTTCACTTCATAATAGCGATTTGGGTATTTACATGTTGTCATGTGGATTCTAAGATAATAAGATAAGAATTTGAGGCAGACCTGATTAAGTAGTCTCATAAAAGCTACAACTTCATGCTATTTTCCCACTCTATACTTCCTTTTTTTTTTTTTAATTAATTTATATTTGGCTGCGTTGGGTCTTCATTGCTACGCATGGCTTTCTCTAGTTGCGGCGAGCGGGGGCTACTCTTCGTTGCAGGTGCGCAGGCTTCTCACTGCAGTGGCTTCTCTTTTTGCAGAGCATGAGCTGTAGGTGCACGGGTTTCAGTAGTTGTGGCACGTGGGCTCAGTAGTTGTGGCTTGCGGGCTCTAGAGCGCAGGCTCAGTAGTTGTGGCGCATGGGCTTAGTTGCTCCGCGGCATGTGGGATCTTCCCGGACCAGGGATTGAACCCATGGCCCCTGCATTGGCAGGCAGATTCTTAACCACTGTGCCACCAGGGAAGCCATTGCGTTATTTCCCTCCCTTCTATGGTTTTAACTACCAGGGCTCACACGCTGATGATTCCTACATTTATCTCCAGCTCTGCTTTTGCTACTGAAAGTGAGATCTGTGGATTTAACTGCCCGATAGCATTTATCTCAACTGTAGTTTTCAACCTAGTAGTCCTCAAGACATGTGAACCAGTTAGCTCCATTGCACAGCATTTCCACCCTTGCATAAACGAGGTAATCGACTTTGGCAAGTCGAAGAATCTAACCCCCACTGGAATTGTACTCTAGGCTTAGGATTTTTTTCCGGTCCTGGGTCCTGCCACCCAATAGAGAATTCTGTTATCTCATCGGACTAGAAGCTTTCCTGATCCTTTTGCCAGAAAATCATCACATCTGCCTTGAACGAACCTTCGATGCAAGGTGCTTCATACAAAAACAGGCTGTATGATGGGTTTTATACCTCCTTGCTGATAGATGTCTTAGACTTCCTTTCATCGTAACTGTAAGTCATTCGGGAGCAAGGTAGGCAGGGAAGGAACCTGTGGCTGTCACCTACCTGTAATCTTTGAAGTCTGAAATGAACATGACAGTGGTGAGTGGCCAGTTGTCTTGGATCCTTTTCTACATCCCTGGGCAGCTCTGTCTCCTGTTCTACCCAATAATCATCCACATCTTCACTGTCTTCAAGATGCCTCATCCCAGGCCTTCTCAGCATATGACCTTGCCTCCTACTTCAAGGAGAAAATTGAAGCTACAAGATTTGAATACGAATACCTACAAATCTGTCTACATTGGTACCTATCCTTACTACTTCCAGACCTGTGTTGGGAAGAAGAAGAGCCTTTTCTCTTGTTTAGAGATCGTCCTTCCATGTGTGCTGCAGATATTTTCACCCATCTCGGGAATTCCTGCTGTTTGTTCCAGAGCTGAGAAAGGCATGTCCTCCTTGGTGAAAGCTCTGATGCTCCCCACATTCCCCATTTGTGCTTTGCTGGTTCTCCCCGTGCCACCATCACGCATGCGTGGGTTTCTAGAATTGCACTTATTACAGGGGCTAACAGCAGGAGCTTGTTGTTCACCAGGCCTTTGTTCAAATCCTCCCTCCACCTCTAATTAGGTGCTTGATTGGTTGGGGCAAATTACTTGAACTTCTGTGAGTCTCCATTTCGTAATCTGTAAAATGAACCCAGAGTACCTGGGTTCAAATTTTAGCTTTGTCATTTACTAGCTGTCTAACCTGGGCAAGTTGTTTAGTCTCTCTGTGTTTCGGTCTCCTCATCTGTAAAATGAGGGCAATAATAACTCATGAGGTTATCGATGGTTAGATGGGTTCATGCATGCGAACAAAGTACCTCGCGCACATAAGCATTTGTTCTTATTACTACACTTCACGTATTTACCTAAAAGAGTTGTGTGGATTGGGATAATATAAGGAAAGCACTCTTCGACTGACTGTGGTAAGTACTTAAAGAATGGAATGAAGTGATTACTTTCATGATGCTCACATTTATATACCAGCTGGCTGCTTATCTGTCTTCTTACTAAAGGTGAGCTTCCTGGGTGCTGGGGACCTGCCTTAGCACAGTTTCTGGTGCGTAGTAGGTAAGCAGAGCTGTAGAGTGAAGCTGGTCCTGTGGGTGCCTCAAACTCAATACGCCCCAAACTGGCTTCCTCACCCTCACCAGCTGTCTCCCACCCCTTCCTCACTGCACGTGGCTCCACCAGTCCCACCGCCAGTGCTGGGATACATCCTGGACTGTTCCCTCTGCCACACCGGCCCTGCCTAATCAGTTCACAGAAATCCACAGCTGACTTGGAGCTCTGAGGCCCTGCACCCCACTGCACACGCAGCGCCACCACACAATCCCAACCCTCAGCATCACTCACAGGAAAGAATTCAGTCGCCTCCCAACCGTGCTTCCTGCCTTCAGGTCTTGCCCAACAGTGTTTCAGAAAAGTCCCATTTGCCCCAACATTATTCCCAAGAAGTCCCATTCTCACCTTGGGTAAATGTTATACCCTCTCTTAGTCTCTGTTTCCTCACATTTAGAATGGAGATAATAGCAACGATAGTACCTACTTCACAGGGTCGCTGTTTGCTTAAATGAATAATTCACAGAAAGCACCTAGTGCAGTGTCTGGAATGTAATAAGTGCTCAATTAATGCCAGCTTTTACTCTGACTGAACATAAGATAAATCCAAATCTCTTAGCCCGACAAAAGACTGTTTGTGATCTCTAGTCCTAGCCTTTCTAGCCCTTTTATCCACTCCCTCCCCGCCCCCGTGAGTCTCTTCAGGAAGATCGCACTCCTTCCCATTGCCCAGTCCCACCAGGCTATTTCACACCTCTTGTCTTCCTCTTGCCCTCATTCAAATCCTAAACCCAGCTTAAACTTCATTTCCTTTCCTGATTTTTTCCTTCCCCTCAGCCAGACAGTTATCATTCTCTCCTCTGCATCTTGTACTTGACACTCTGAATATAGGCTATAAATATATTTGCCATGTGTGTATTAGATAAAAACTTACTTAGAGGGAAAGAACACTAGCTGAGTTTGAACAGTTTAGATTAATCTATTTGGAGCAGGACTTTGACAGCTGAGAGGTGTGTAGAAAGCAAGTGAGTGAGGCAGCCCCAGCCCTGTGATCTTTGAGGGTTTAGGCTGGTGGCACCTGCCCACAGAATATGTGCCCATCAGCTAAAGCAGAAAAGGTGGCACTGAATGAGGAAGTGAAAAACTCAGGAATGGTTTATGAAGCCATGAAATGGAGGAGATTCAGTTCTGTTTGTAGTGATGGCTGAAGGCCACTCAAACCATCAATCTAGCCATCACTGCTGCTTGTAGTCTTTCTATAAAGCAGATATTTTTGTGGTGGTGGTCATTGAAGTGACAAGGTTTGATTTTGAGAGGATAGGTCAGTAATAGGGATATTAGGTACCCTCACTTCATCCATGAGGAAAATGTCCTTTGTCAGACCATTCCCTCCCTGGATCTCAGTGGACCAGGGAAGATTTTAAAGCAAGAACAGAGCTGGTCAATTTTATCTGGATCATCTCTCACTGGCGTTAAGTAACTATATTCCATTTAGTCCAGTGTCTGTCTGTCTTTGCTCAGATGCCAGGATTTAACTTAATGTTCCTAATTGTGAGGATCAATTCAGACCTATCAGTTTCCAAGACCAGACATCGTTCTGTTAGATCTGCCTGCTCTCCTTAATTGCAAGTACGTGACTGGCTTGAATATCCATTTAAAGAGTGAAAAAATGGTTTTGCAGAGCAGAATGAAATCTGTCATCTTAAGCGTTTCCTTGTCTGCCCTCCAGAGTAATAATAATCCTAATTACTTTTAAAGCAGGATTTCTTCTGTTTTCCAGTGTGCATCCTGCGGATTGAATTGAGCCCCAGGATTACCTAGCAGCTAAACCCTATCCTCCAATTTTATAGCCATTTTCTAATGAAATTCTCTTTGAAGATAACTTTCCCTCTACCACCACCACCCCAATTCAAAAATATCAAGCATGACAAAGAGGTGGTAAGGAACTCAAACTTAGCCTGAACTCTTCCTAAATTGTGCTTTTAAAAAATATTTTTGTATCCTAGCCTGAATATTCACATTCCACTTAGCTAGGGGTTTTCCACGTTACATAAGCCATTTCCTATCTCTTCATCTTGAGAGGCATTCAAGGAAAACTCTATTGCCCTTGCAGAGCTGGAGAGTAGCTCGCTGATGGGAAAAACCACTTGTTCAGAGTCATTTGGAGATTTTGAGAACAAATTGTAATTAAAGTTAAGATTTCCTGATTCCTTCTCCCTTAGCCCACAGTGCCTGTTTTAATAAGACTAAGAAGTATTATGGTTGGAATTGATCTTATTAAAACTTTTGCCATAATTTTTCATAATAGATGATGGGAAAAAATACTGGAAGGAAACATTATACCAAAGCAATCAGTGGTTATTTTACTGTGGTAAGATTATGGGTGATTTTCTTTTTTCTCTCCTAATCTTTATTCTCCAAACTTTCAGTAATGTGATTACATTATTTTTATTATTTTATAAATTTTAACTGTCATGTAGCTCCGTGACAGTTTCCTACTTCAGAAAATATGTACTAGAAATTAACCTTTTTTTAATGCCTCAGAATTATGATTATAAATATGAGTGTTCTACCTCGTGATCAATAACTTCAATGTGGTTTAATATGATATATGGGAGGCTATTTTTTCTGTAAGGAAATTGCCTTATACCACTATACTTTTATTCTTCTTTTTTTGAATATAATATACTTTCACATTTCGAGGTTCAAAAATACAAAGGACATATACACATAGATAATCTCCCTCCCTCTTCCTCTCACCCACAGGCAACCAAATTACTCCTTCCAGAAATATTTTACATACATGTATTTTACACAAGAATGTCAATTGGCAATACAGTATACATGCTGCTCTTAGAAAATATTCCATTCAGATCATAAAACTCTTCCTTGGGCTTTTTTAAACAGCCATTCCATATATATATATTTTTAATTTATTTTATTTATTTATTTTTGGCTGCTTTGGGTCTTCGTTGCTGCGCACAGGCTTTTCTCCAGTTGCAGGGAGCGGGGGCCACTCCTCGCTGTGGTGGCGGGCCTCCCACTGTGGTGGCCTCTCCTGTTGCGGAGCATGGGCTCTAGGTTCGCGGGCCTCAACAGTTGTGAAGCACGCGGGCTTAGTTGCTCCATAGCATGTGGGATCTTCCCGGACCAAGGCTCGAACCCGTGTCCCCTGCATCAGCAGGCGGACTCTCAACCGCGCAACTCTCAACTGCACCACCAGGGAAGCCCTCAGCCATTCCATATTACATCATGAATTTAACACACACACACACACACACACACACACACCCCAGTTTATCCAACTTGTCTTTGTTTTGATGGACATTAAGGTTTTTCTAGTCTTTCTATTATAGACAGTGATTCAGTAAATAACTTTATACATCATTTTGAATGTAAGGTTTTCATTTACGAGTGAGACTATCTGTAGATAACTTCCTAGTTGTAGGTATGTACACCTGTGAGTTTGATGGATGTTGCCAAATTGCTTTCTGTCGAGGTTGTATTCTATACTTTTACCATATCTCTTCTTGCACGTGCCTTTCTTCCCTTAGTACCAGGATGTCAGCTGTCACCTCTTTTGTCACTGTGCTGCCTCTAGCTCTCCTTCCCCTTTTCTACTTTATGAATTCTAAATATGTTGTGAACTTAGAAACAAATAATCAAACTGTTAGAAGTGTGTGGCTCAGAGTCACGGCCAGAGCATTGTAAAGTACTCATTCATCTGTTCAGCAAGTGTTTATTGAACACTTACTGTGCTCACCGGGGACATAGCCTCTGTGTCATGAATTTCTCGTGAGGGAGAAAGACAGTAAACAAATATACAAATAAGTGACTTCTAGATAAATGAAGTGTTACTAGACTTTAGTTTTTGTTTTAAAGACCCACACACCAATGTACTGCCTCCTTAAATTATGTGTTCATCTCCATTGGTAGCCCACTTGTTTTCTATTTGACTGGGGTGGAGGGAAGGACAGAACAGGGACAGGGATCTCCTATTTTAAAGAGTGATGAACAGATAGATTTTGGTAGAGTTATTAAAAACAGATAGTTTTTGGTAGAGTTATTAAAAAAATAAAAGGAACTGTGAACATGAACAATGGTAAAAAGCACGGAGTAGTGTATCTCGACATCTGAGTTTTGGCTTGAGTTCTGCCACGAGATGACCACAGATGAGTCATTGAAGTTTTCTGGACTCAATTTTCTCTTCTATTAAGTATAGGTAATGGTAGAGAAAAATGTCCCTTCCTCCGGTTGGTGAGTGGGACCTAGGCTGACTTTCATTTCCTACTGCCCCCTCCATACAGCCTGCATGACATTAACCAGCTGCCCTGTCTGTAGTCAGATTGGTTGGGAAGTGGCTGGGTGAAGCAGGTTTTCTCTAGTACTTCATGTCCCAGGGCTTTAATATGCTAACATGTTGCACTTTGAAACACCAAGAGAAGAATGTGGCATGTGGCGTATTTCTCGTTGGCCCTCAGAACATCTTTTCTGTGTGACTGGTATTCCTTGCCACACAGGTTGAGAAAAAACTGAACTAGATTATCTGTACCCGTTCTTGTTATTCTGAGATTATGTTCTCATCTGTTTTGTTCTGATACATTTTCCTCCTTTAACAAAAGCTAAAGTCCTCACCACCGGCACATCCTCCTCCTCTGCAAATTGCTGTCTATGGTCACCACATTGCCTCTGCCCCATTGCTTTATTACCCAGGGCTCTTTTTGTGGGGGAACATACCAGGACACCATTCCGGAACCTCTCAGAGTTACATAAACCTGAACATTTGAGAATTTTGTTTTACAGAAGTAGCTGTCACCAGCATAACAAAAGATGTATTATGTTGAAATCTATACCAACGATGCTTAATGTTAAAATCAAATGACAGGGCTTCCCTGGTGGCGCAGTGGTTGAGAGTCCGCCTGCCGATGCAGGGGACATGGGTTCGTGCCCCGGTCCGGGAAGATCCCACATGCCGTGAAGCGGCTGGGTCTGTGAGCCATGGCCGCTGAGCCTGGGCATCCGGAGCCTGTGCTGTGCAACAGGAGAGACCACAACAGTGAGAGGCCCGCGTACCGCAAAAAAAAACAAAAACAAAAACAAAAAAAAACAAAAAAAAAAATCAAATGACAACATGCTTATTTATAAATACATCTGTGTATCTAGGAGATTTGTCATTACTAGTTTGTGGAAAATTATAACCTGATTGTGCCTTTTCTCCAACTCCTCCTGAGTGTGAGATGGATAGGAGACCTGTTTCTACCTGGACCTCTTCCGCCTCAACTGTCTTGAATCATGTTGACGGCAGGGCTGTGGAGAGAGAACCAGTTCACAAACTGCAACAAAACCACAGTCAGAGACTGGAGTTCTTATAGCTTAAACTATTCTAAGTTAAAAGACCTATGGAAAGAAACTGTTTTATATTAATAATACTAATATCATTAATAAATATTAAATATCATTTAGTAAAATACTAACAGGCCAATAGGTTGGAAAAGTGAACTGTCAACCCTGTAAAAATTGCTTCTGATGTGAGTAGAGTAGGATCATGAAAAAGAATGCCAACTTAAACCGTTCACTTTTTTAAAGGAAGGAATAGTGTGCTTATCCATCTGCACTTATGAGCTGAGTTTTCATGTCAGACACAGCACTCAGGCTTTTGATGTTTTTCATAATTTGGTAGGCAAGAAATAGGACAGTAGCTCTTGGCTCCTAGGTAGAGTGTTATTTGGTGTTCACATATAACTCATGAAGTATTTCTATTAATAAGAAAGAAACTTGCTCTCACATAAACTTCGTCACTTAAGAATATCATTGGCTTCCTTCCTTAAGTAACTATATATTTTTAAAAAGCTTTATAATTACAGTTGCGTTTGAAAGTAGAATGCTCCTATCAGTATGGAGGGTGGTTTTGAACTTAGAACACTGTATCCCCACTCATTTCCTATTTTACAAAAATAGCGTTTCATGCCAAATATTGAGTTCTCTCAAAAATTCCCTCACTGATGTAAGTGGTCGTTTCTCAAAAAATGAGCATGTGCCTTGCTGCCAAAAATGGCTCAACATGGCAGGAATTTATTTGTTCACATACTCAGGCAGCCAAGGTCACAATATGCTCTGTATTCTTAACACTGGCTAATAACTTTGTGAAGCAGTGCCTCAGACCTTATTGAAACTAGCTCTGTTTTTGTTTTTAGTAATTTCAGTGTATGAATGCTGATGTCAGTAGCTGCCATCCCATTTGTCTCACTGCTTTTACTGTCTCTGTAAAAGACTTTTTTTTTTCCATTTGGGCTTAAGTACCACCTGAAGAGAGAAGCCTTTTAAGGCCTGGGAGACTGGCCAGTGCCCTTTGTCCTTCTGTTCACCTACTAAAAGGTAGCATTGTTAACCTAATTCAGCGGGGCCCTGGCTCAGTATAAACACTGCTCAGTAGAGCCAGAAAGACTAATTGAATTGTACAATACATCACTCTTCAGCAACAGTTTCAAGTGGATTGTACTTCATTTTCCAGAACACCATCCATTTTTTCCCCTCATTTAAGATTTTTAAATATAGCAAATATTTAACCATGATAAACAAAATATTTGAACCCAATTCTGTCTTTCCCCGCTGAACTGTGAGCTACATGAGGACAGGGCCCTGCCTGTTGTGGTCTCCAGTATCAGTGAATTGGTATGTAAGATTCCCCCAAACTACCCACGGGTTATGCATTATTTAAGCTACTCCCTCTGTATCTCAGATGTGTTTCTTCTATTTATTTCTTTGGATGACAATGACATTTTAAAATCAACTTTCATACTCTTGATGATGACTACCAGAAGTGGATATAGAGTTGGATGGATCTATTGGCCAAAGTCAGCCTAAGCTCAGAGCTGTTCTAATAAGAGCAACTCTTTTCTGCTTATGAAAGTGTGTGTTTGAGCCTATTTTCTATGCACACTGTTCTGCATATAATATCCTTTTTTCCCCTTTTTTGGGAGAGATCCTTTTATTCCTTTTGAATTTTGTAGTATGTGCGTGGTTTACCTATCTTTTTAAAGTGGCTACTTTATAAAAAGCGTTATAGACTATATATACATATATGTGCACATAGTTTTAGTTTTTAAAGTCAGCATTGTTGTTAAGAGTATTAATGGTGCTTTGTGACTACCTAGAGGGGTGGGAGAGGGAGGGTGGGAGGGAGACGCAAGAGGGAGGGGATATGGGGATATATGTATGCCTATAGGTGATTCCCTTTGTCATAAAGCAGAAACCAACACACCATTGTAAAGCAATTATACTCCAATAAAGATGTTAAAAAAAAGTCTTAATGAATTCTTTTTAAATTTTTATTTTGAAATAATTATGGATTCACAGGAAGTTGCATAGATAATATAATACAGAGAGGTCCTGTGTATCTTTCACCTACTTTCCCCACGGGTTATATCTTAAATACCTATAGTACAATTAAAAAAAACAAACAGGAAATTGACATTGGTATACTGGGTCTGTAGAGTTCCGTGTCATTTTATCACGTGTAGATTTGTGCAATCACATGATCAACATACAGAGTTAATGAATTCCTTTCAATGCCCAGGTTACTTTTACCAATTGCGTTTCTGGAAGAGAGAAAGAAAAGCCACACTTTATACTTAGTTACACTATGGGTTTTTTCATTTGGCTGTGTTCAGAAGATGATGTTATTTTGATATCTAAGCTGTGGTTCCTGGTTGGAGGAGGTGTGGAAAGCCAGGTGATTCGTCAGCGCTGATGGAGCAGTTTCTTTTTTAGGTGTCTAAGCAGGCCAAAGAGTTTCTGGAGTACGTGTACGAAGAGCCCCTGATCGACATCCAGCAGGAGAACCCCATGCTGTACGGACACGCCGAGCCGCTGGCCACCGTGGTGCGCCTGCGGCAGCGGCTGAAATCACTGCGAGCCTATTTGTTCAGCTGCCGGGCAGCGGTGGCCGAGGATCTGCGCCGCAGGTAAGAGTCATAAATGTCAGACGGCGTCAGTTTGTTTTTCTTTTCCCGCCCCGGGAGGGTGGTTAGAGGATCTCCAAGGGCCTTTACAACGTGGAGTGTCTCGAATTCTGTGGCTGTCCCTCCGGGCTCATCTTTGGCTCTTTCCTCCGAGGGCCTCTATCCGGTTGAGCCAAGCACAATGAAAATAATATCTCAGCGTAACTGAAGGCTTTTAACCCATGGATCGAGTTCCCACAATGGTGAAGACCTCTCTTTACCTGTAGGTTAACTTGAGATAATATTCACTGGAGTGTCTTCATTGATCACTTATGTAGTGTTTTATATTTCCCTCAAGTTCAGTTCGTATTATCATCAGGAAAAAATAAGCATGTTTGAAATATTTCATAACTTAAAAACATTTTTTCAATGGGAAATTAGTAGGTGGTTATTCAAATCTTATTTTGCAGACAGAAGCGAACTTGGTAAATGATGCAGGCTGTAGAGCTTGAATTAAAATGCATTAAAAAACAACAACAGGCACAAAACATGAAAAGGCCCAGGATCCTGCCTTTTCATGTTACCATTGACATAGGCTGCTTATCCATAGCTTGGTTATCTCAGAGTTTATGGAACACGCAAGTCCATGCCAGGCTCAGATCCTCAACATAAAAGTGAAGTTAAAATGTGCCTGCTCTCATCAGATTCCTTCTTTTACAGTTAGGTTTTATTGGCATTTAAATTCTCACCCTTGGCATATGTGAACTAGCTTATACTTGAAATAATTGTTGATGGTGTTCATAAGTCCCTAAACATACCTTTTAATTTTTTTTTTTTTAGTAGAAATTTAAAGGCATACATTAGTCATGATTTTTGGAGGCAAGCCTATGTGAATAAGAACCTTTGGAAAGTGATATCGTTTGCTATTTGAAATCCAATTAAGATCCAAAGAAACTGACAAAACCCCAGGCATCTGAAGAGATGTTTTGAAAAGAACTAAATGTAGATGGTAAGGGATACATAATATCTAGACAAGCTCTCATAAAATAATAATGAAAAGGCAGCTGCCATAAAGCAAAATACTTCTCAGTGGTAGTCATTCTGTTACCTAGTTGTTTTTCAGAAAGTGCTAGAAAGTGGTCAGGATTTACTCTTGTAAAGTCTAGGCAAATCTTAATTTTAAAGATCAGGGCTTTGCCTGAAAGGCAATAAAATTACGTGTCTCAAACTAATTCACCAACTAAACTAGATACAAGATTTTTAACATTGAAAGTATGTTCTATTACTTTCAGTACCTTTTAGCTTTGCTCAGAGCCTGTTTTTCCTGTGCCTATATTTTTAAATGATATTAAAATCTACACATGGGGGCTTCCCTGGTGGCGCAGTGGTTGAGAGTCCGCCTGCCGATGCAGGGGACGTGGGTTCGTCCCCCCAGTCCGGGAAGATCCCACATGCCGCGGAGCGGCTGGGCCCGTGAGCCACGGCCGCTGAGCCTGCGCGTCCGGAGCCTGTGCTCCACAGCGGGAGAGGCCACAACAGTGAGAGGCCCGCGTACAGCAAAAATAAATAAATAAAATCTACACATGGGAATCATGTTAGATACCTTTATGATATAATGTTTTGCTTTGGTTAAATATGTCAGATCTGGGCACACATTTAGAAATTAAATAGCAGATCCTGTCTTCATATGGATGACTAAGAATACCTATGCTGTTCCAGCAGTTTGGTGGTTTACCACCATGTACTGTGCCTTATGGCCAGACCACCGGGAAAGGAATGGAAGTTCTAGAAAAAAAGCATTCCTAGGGCTGTGAGAATGAAAATAGTAGTCTTTTTTTCCGTTTCCTTCATTTCTCTTTCCTGGACTTGCTCATGACCGTTATGTAGTGTAGTGCCTGCCACAAGGTGGGTATTCAGTAACTACTGAATGGATGGATGGAAGGAGGGATGCGTGATAGTTGGATGTCTGCTACAGTGTCACTTTAGACCACTGAGCAGTGGCTAGTAGCCCAGTTTTGAGGAAGGAGTCACCTTCAAATTCTTCTTTTTCTTACTTCCCCGTGTCACTTAGCACAGTGTTTGACCTATCTGAAACTTTCAGAAATTGTTGAATGAACAAATCAACCAAAGAGCAAACCAAATCAGCCAAAAAAGCATTTCTGTTTCTGGGATAAGTCTCAAATCTTTCCTCTCCTGTTCACTTCCGGTGCACTCCCCTGGTTCAGTCTCGGGACTATTACAGTATCCTTCTGACTTTCTGTCTCACTTGGGTTTCTTTCCTCTCCAGTTGAACCTTCGCATCAGACAAATTATTAAAGCACAAGTATGGAATTAAAGATCTGCCCCAATCTAATCCAGTATATTGTTCTACTCTCTCAAACACTGCACTTCAAACACAAATAATTATTTAACTCTTCCCTCAGTGCATTCTGTTGTGGGAATTAAATGGGTTTTTGCAAGTGAAGGGCTTACAGTAGTGCTTGTACATAGTAAACACTCTATAGATAACCATTATTATTAATACTGCTTTTTAAAAATTTATTTATTTTATTTTATTTTTGGCTGTGTTGGGTCTTTGTTGCCGCACACAGGCTTTCTCTAGTTGCAGCGCACGGGCTTCTCATTGTGGTGGCTTCTCTTGTTGTGGAGCACGGGCTCTAGGTGCACGGGCTTCAGCAGTTGCAGCATGTGGGCTCAGTAGATGTGGCACACGGGCTCTAGAGCGCAGGCTCAGTAGTTGTGGCTCACGGGCTTAGTTGCTCCACAGCCTGTGGGATCTTCCCGGACCAGGGCTCCAACCCGTGTCCCCTGCATTGGCAGGCGGATTCTTAACCACTGCACCACCCGGGAAGTCCTAATACTGCTTTCTTATCCTAGACTGTTCTTGTCTCTAGCTTTTAAAATCTTTGTTAAAAGATTCTCCTTAAAAGCTACCCCTGAGGCTCTGTCTACTGGACTCAGGCTCCTTCTGCTACTCACTGTATCAGGAGAGGGGTGAGCAAGAGGAAGTGGGTTGGAGGGCCAGCCGGGCCCAGGGCCTGCAGTTCCTGGGTACGTGGGATGCACTTATCTGAGCGTTTGTTGCATAAAAATAGGTGGAGGGGGCTTCCCTGGTGGCGCAGTGGTTGAGAGTCCACCTGCTGATGCAGGGGACACGGGTTCGTGCCCCAGTCCGGGAAGATCCCACATGCCGCGGAGCGGGCTGGGCCCGTGAGCCATGGCCGCTGAGCCTGCGCGTCCGGAGCCTGTGCTCCGCAGCGGGAGAGGCCACAACAGTGAGAGGCCCGCGTACCGGAAAAAAAAAAAAAAAAAATTGGAGGAGCAGGAGGCTCCCTAAGAGCAAAGGATGAGACAGTGATTCCTACAGCGCCTAGAGGAGGTGATTGATTTTTTTTTTAATGTTATTTTAGTTTCTCTATATTTATATACTGTTAACATAATGTTTGGGTTTAGGTTACCATGCTCTCCAACCTGGCACAGAAAAAAGTATACCAGTAGCAAGCAGTACTCCTAACTTTGGGGGGAGGTGGCGAGTTAGAGGGAGGCTAGAAATCATTTTGATTTATTTTGAAATATGACTATTTAGTGAAATATGTCTAAGAGATTTTTCTGGGATGTTCATACTTCTTACAGCTGGGCCATGCTTACTAATTCCACCTTCTTCAGTGTCTATAAAAATAACCATAGCTACAAAGGGGAACCATTGCCCACCTCACATGCTAAAATTCCTGTCACCAAAAGCCATCTCTTGCCTATCAATCATCTTTCACTTTTATATGGAATCTGACTTTTTAAAAACAAAATTAGCCCACAGTACTTTTAGCGATGATAAGCATGTTCAAAAACACTACTTAAGGTTCCCTTTGTCTCATCTGCGGGCACCACATCTAGAGTGGGGTGGTTTAAACAGTGAGAAGCACCTGCTGGGCACAACTAACCATACGTATCCTCGATAGAAGTTAAAAGAGGGAGGAGTTGATGAGCAACAGGGGAACAAAACTAGAGCAAGAGAATCCAGTTCTTATCTAGTCGTAAAAGGCATTCTCTCCCTGCCTGGTTTTTACCTCCATATAAAAGTTGTCATTAATCTCCAGCAAGTAGGCCCAACATGCTGAAGACCTGTCAGCGCCATATAAACAGAATAAAGCAAACTGTTAATACTGCTGTCATGAGGAAACTGGAAACAGACTGATTAATCATAGTGGCGCTCAACCGCCAGGGAGACCACTTCGGTCGTCGCCTTATTAGGGAAGTCCCAGTTGGCTTTTAGACCAATCACTACGATGACCATCCGGTTTGTATCCTCACTGTTTTTGTTATTGTTGTTAAATGAACGCCTTGTTCTTGAACCCATACCGCAAATCTTGACTGGCAGGGGTGATTAGTTTAGAAAAAGTCAGCATCTTCCATGAAATCTAAAATGTTTATAGTGCCGACCATTGACCGTTTCTGAGGACTCCCAGATGGCGAGCGACCCTGCTGGATTGATTCAAGGCCTATTTAACTTTTCAAGAGAGAAATTATTTACAGTGTCCACATGTAAAGGTGCATGAAGTACTCTGTGGAAGATCTTGGCACTGTCAGGACACATCCGGAGCAGCTGCCATTAAGGATGTCTTCAGGAGGGACCCTAAGAAAAGCTGGGAACACAGGAATAGTGGGATACGTGTGTAAATCATAGTCACAAAAGGGCACCTCGGGGCCAGATTTGGCCCTCAGACATGTTCTGTTTGGCCTTTCAGGGATGGCCCCCACCAGGTTTTAAAGTTGCAAAATACTGGCTAACATTTAAATAATTAGGAGTTTGCATGCTCACACAAAGTAAAACTCTCTGGTTTCTCTTAAGAAATCAGAAGCTCTGATTACACAAAAGCTTCCCTCATTCCTGGATGCAGCAATCAGCTTTACATACTGGACTCTGCACTTTCCCATAGTCTCTACCCCTCCTATCTTCTCCCCAGACCCACTGGCATTGGGTACATAATATGGTGCTGCCCTGCTTGTCTTATCCTCAGCCCATTTCA